TTTTCTCTATTATTTTATTGTTCTCAATTTTATTTATTTCTTCTCTGATTTTTATTATGTCCCTCTTTCTGCTGACTTTGGGCCTCATTTGTTCTTCTTTTTCCAGTTTCAATAATTGTGACTTTAGGCTATTCATTTGGGAATGTTCTTCCTTCTTTTTATAGGCCTGGATTGCTATATACTTTCCTCTTAGAACTGCCTTCACTGCATCCCACAGAAGTTGGGGCTTTATGCTGTCAGTGTCATTTGTCTCCATATATTGCTTGATCTATGTTTTGATTTGGTCATTGATCCATTGATTATTTAGAAGCATGATGTTAAGCCTCAATGTGTTTGTGAGCCTTTTTGTTTTCTTTGTACAATTTATTTCTAGTTTTATGCCTGTGATCTGAGAAGTTGGTTGGTAGAATTCCAATCTTTTTGAATTTACTGAGGCTCTTTTTGTGTCCTAGTATGTGGTCTATTCTGGAGAATGTTCCATGTGCACTAGAGAAGAATGTGTATCCTGCTGCTTTTGGGTGTAGAGTTCTGTAGATGTCTGTTAAGTCCATCTGTTCTAGTGTGTTGTTCAGTGCCTGTGTCCTTACTTATTTTTTGTCTGGTGGATCTGTCCTTTGGAGTGAATGGTATGTTGAAGTCTCCTAGAACGAATGCATTGCATTCTATTTTCTCCTTTAATTCTGTTAGTATTTGTTTCACATATGTTGGTGCTCCTGTATTGGGTGCATATATATTTATAATGGTTATATCCTCTTGTTGAGTTGACCCCTTTATCATTATGTAATGTCCTTATTTATCTCTTGTTACTTTCTTTGTTTTGAAGTCTATTTTTTCTGATGCCAGTACTGCTACACCTACTTTTTTCTCCCTATTGTTTGCATGAAATATCTCTTTCCATCCCTTGACTTTTAGTCTGTGTATGTCTTTGGGTTTGAGGTGAGTCTCTTGTAAGCAACATACAGATGTGTCTTGCTTTTTCATCCATTCTGTTACTCTGTGTCTTTTGATTGGTGCATTCAGTCCTTTTATATTTAGAGTGATTATTGAAAGATATGTACTTATTGCCATTGCACACTGTAGATTTGTGGTTACTTTACTATCTGTCTAACTTAACTCACTTATTAAGCTATTATAAGCACAGTCTGATGATTCTTTATTTCTCTCCTTTCTTATTCCTCCTCCTCCATTCTTTATATGTTAGGTGTTTTATTCTGTGTTCTTTTGTGTTTCCTTTAACTGCTTTTGTGGGTAGTTGATTTTATTTTTTGCCTTTAGTTAGTATTTGGTTGGTCTGCTTTCTTTGCTGGAATTTTATTTTCTCTGGTGACATCTATTTAGCCTTAGGATGGCTTCCATCTAGAGCAGTCCCTCTAAAATACCCTGTAGAGGTGGTTTGTGTGAGGCAAATTTCCTCAACTTTTGCCTGTCTGGGAATTATTTAATCCCTCCTTTATTTTTAAATGATAATCGTGCTGGATACAGTATTCTTGGTTCAAGGCCCTTCTGTTTCATTGCATTAAATACACCATGCCATTCTCTTCTGGCATGTAAGGTTTCTGTTGAGAAGTCTGATGACAGCCTGATGGGTTTTCCTTTGTAGGTGACCTTTTTTTCTCTCTCCTGCCTTTAATACTTTGTCCTTGTCTTTGATCTTTGCCATTTTAATTATTATATGTCTTGGTGTTGTCCTCCTTGGATCCCTTGTGTTGGGAGTTCTGTGGGCCTCCCTGGTCTGAGAGACTATTTCCTCCCCCAGTTTTCAGCAATTATTTCTTCAAAGACACTTTCTATCCCTTTTTCTCTCTCTTCTTCTTATGGTACCCCTTTAATGCTAATATTTTTCCTTTTGGATTGGTCACACAGTTCTCTTTATGTTCTTTCATTCCTTTTATCTCTCTCTGCCTCAGCTTCTCTGTGTTCCTGTTCTCTGATTTCTATTCCATTAATGGCCTCTTGCACCTCATCCAGTCTGCTCTTAAGTCTTTCCAGGGATTGTTTTATTTCTGTATTCTCCCTCCAACTTTATCCTTTAACTCTTGCATATTTCTCTGAAGATCCATCAGCATGGTTATGACCTTTATTTTGAATTCTTTTTTGGGGGGATTTGTTAAGTCTATCTCCGCAGGCCCTCTCTCTGGGGTTGTCTGGTATTTCTGGACTGGACCAAATTCTTCTGCTTTTTCATGGTGATAGAGGTAGCTGTGGCAGGTTGCGCATATGTCAGCTGGAAGAACAAAGTCCTTTCCTGCTTGCTGGTCGCCTTGCCCTTCTCCGCTGCCTGTGTCGGTTACCCACACCTGCAGCAGCATTCAGGTTAATCCCCTAAGCTGCTGTGGGCAGGGTCTCCATCAGGGTAGCGCAGAGCCTTGCAGGGAGTGGCAGCCGCACCGGGTGTGCTCTTCTGCGAGAGCAGCGTCCCCGCTGGGCAGCTGCATGCTGGCAGTGGCCTTTGGGTCTGGCCCAGGCAGCTGTGTGCCGGGAGGAGATTCTGGATGGCTGCTGAGGGTGTGGCTGCTCCCGGGCCGCTCCACCACCACTGCTGCTGGCGCATGTGGGCCTCTTCCTGGCCCCTCTGGTGCTGCTGCCACAGGTGCACGTGGCCACTCCCCACCATGGGTGCACGCGGCCACTCTCCCGCTACCCGGCTGCTGTGGCGGGATCTGCACCAGCCGGGGGAATGACTGGCAGGCTGCTTATCGCGTGAGGGGCTTCAGAGCTGTGCTGCCTCCCAGGGGGTTAGGTCACCTAGAGTTCCCCGGGATTCCCAGCTGCTGGGCTGAGTGTGCCGGAACGAGTTCGTTCAGCTCCGAGGTCCCTGTTCCTTTAAGACTTTCAAAAAGCATTCGCTTTTCTTTTGTCCCAGGGGAGCCAGTTGTGGGGACCTCCTTGCAGGTTTTGCTTTTCCATTTCTCTAATATCCAGCACACCGTGCACTGCATGTCTGTGCTCCCAGTGCAGATTACTAGAGCTGGTTGTTTAGCAGTCCTGGGCTCCCACTCCCTCCCTGCTCCGACTCCTTTCTTCCCACTGGGGAGCTGGGGTGGGGGGCTGCTCAGGTCCTGCCGGGCCGCAGCTTGTCTTACCCCCTTCGTGTGATGCTGAGTTCTCACAGATGTAGATGTAGCCTGGCTGCTGTACTGTATCCACTGGTCTCTCTTTTAGGAATAGTTGCATCTGTTGTATTTTCAAAAATACATATATTTTTGGGAGGAGATTTCTGCTGCCCTACTCACGCTGCCATCTTGGCTCCTGTCCCTAAAAATATACTTTAAGTCTATGATCCATTAATTGAGAAAGAAATCAGGAAGAGGAGATAAAGAAAAAGAGCTCAAGACAATGAGGCAAAATAGACCAAGATACAGAGGGACAGATGTGCACATAGAAAAACTGCCACAGCTCCTGTTTGAGAAGTGCCTCCCAGTCATGGCACTTTAACATGCTGTCTCTGTTTCTCACAATAACCCTTGTTCCCATCACAATAACCCTTGTTCCCATTTTATAGATAAGGAAATCAAGGAGTGGAGCAGTCAGGTAACAGCCCATGATCACTGCAAATAAGCACGATATACATTGACATACACAACCACATCAGAGAAGCAGAGAAGCATTATTGGAGAAACTCATAATGCTAGGCTCTAGATGAATCATGCTACCCTTGGCTTAAGCAAAGGGAGAACAACATATGCAGCCTCAGAGAGAAACCGTGGGTGGAGTCAAATCCTTAGCAGTGAACTTTCAGGACAAGGGGACCCCAGAGTTTCAAGGGCACACTGTACATTAATGGCTATAGCTGTGGGGTTACATCTCCAGCACTTGTACTGCAGCCTGGAAGAAATGCAAGGTCATTCCAGCCCAATTCAGTCCACTCCTTGGCCCTAACTTACAGAGGGAAGGAAAGGGATTACAGTGCTGCCTGCCACCCTGTTCATATTAGTCTCATTGTTGTGTAGAGAAAAGATCACTCTTGCTTCCTGTTCTGGGTCTATGAGGATGACCCGTGTAGTTGATGAAGAGAAAAGGGAGGATTGTTGGCAGATAAAAGATTTTGATTTTATTAGGGTCTGACCTACAGGGAAAATTCCTGCCAGTCAGCTATTCAGTCTTTGTCCACCTCTCCATTCACTTTCTGGCCTTTTGACCACAGCAGCAGACATATCAGTTTTAGCTCCTCATTCCTGCCATTGTCTGACATCCATGTCTTCCTGTGTCAAGTATATTCTCTCATCTTCCTATCCCTTCCACTCCCCATTCCATGGGCCTCAGTGGAGGTGGCCCACAGCTTCCCTGAGGAGGGGGCTCCTGTGTTGGGGGAACCAGGCATCTCCTTGGGCCTCTCATGGTGAAAGGTACAGGGAGCATGTGCACTTCTGAGTAGCTTCACACCAGGAGGACCCTCTTCCTGCTCCCTAGTCCAGGAGTGAATGTGCCTGTCCTGGGGCAGCTGTCCTTTTTGACTCTGCATAGTGCACCCTCTGAGGCCTAGCCTGGGTCCTGCTGCAGTCTGCAGTGGCGAGGGAATCTCACTGTTGAAATCAACAACCAAGCTCTCTGAGCTGCCAGCATGTCTCAGGTGATAGCTGCAAGTGATGCAAAGCTAGTCCTTTTCCTGGCCGGTTTGGTTCTGCTTCCTCCCAGCCCTGTTGACCCTGAGACTGCTCATCTCCCTCTCAGACACAACACAATGGCCATCGGCATTGCAGTGGACATTCTGGGCTGCACGGGCACTTTGGAGGACCGAGCAGCCACCCTCAATAGGATCATCCAGGTGGCAGTGGAACTGAAAGACTCCATGGGGGACCTCTATTCTTTCTCGGCCATCATGAAAGCCCTGGAAATGTCACAGGTAAATTTCCACTTGCTTTGTGCAGCTCAGCAGGCCTGTGTGTACTTAACATTTTGCAAAGTGATCTGTGAGCCCATGCTTAGCAAATCACAAGCTATTTTAGTCAATCTCAAAAGGTAAATTGAATCTTATTGAAAGGTGCTGGATTGGGGGGCAACCGAGTGAAGTGTCCTAAGTATTCGGCTCTGTTTTTAAAAACAGTGGGTAATTGCTGACAGCCCATGCTTTCTCTTTGATGTAAAATAAGGAGAGTCATCGCAAGAACAACCAGTATTCCTGAGAAACCTATTAGGATGATATGTCTGGCTAAAGTATGTCATATAAGAAAGAGAATGCTGCTGTCTGGGCCACCAGGCATGTGGGCACTTTGAGGCAGTGACTTGGCATTTGTGGACCTTCACCTGAGAATCCCTAGAATGTTATTTATCTTAATATGTTCCTTATATCACCTAAAACAAACTCTCCTGTTAAAAAATTGATTCCTGGCCCAATGCCCAAATAACCCTCTAATTAGAGTTTCTGAAACTTGGCATTTGAATTTATCTGCTTTGGTGGGCTGTTTTTAGGATGCATGTCAAATCTGAAAAACCTGTATTTGATGTCAAATGGACCTCATTGAGAAAAGTCATCCCGTTGTCTTGATTGCTGTCAGCTTTCCCTTTTCTGTTTTGCCAAGTCCTAGGTGCTTGGAGGACGTTAAGTACGGGATTACGGTCCTGCAAGCCCAGTCTGCAACCAGTACCACCAAAGTCACTGGTCATTTAGCCTGACTATTTCATAGCCATGGATTGTCTCTAAAATCCTACTGGGTACTGAGAATTGAGCACTGCTACTAGGGAAGACAGCCACAGTCACATGTCTTGCAAGCCAGAGTATGTTAGGAATATCATTTCCTTGCATTAAAGCAAGGTCACCTTAAAAACAAAAAACTGAACAACTTAGTGCCTTCACCAGGAAATCTTAGGCAGTCAGTTGCAATTATAACGTTCTAACAGCTTTCAAAATGTTTAGATGCACTGGAATTATGTAGAATCTGTATTTGAAATAGGCAAGTTTATATTTTCATGATATACTTTTATAATAATAGGAGTTAACTTTTCATTTTTTAGATGTTTTAAATTTGCATCATATTCATTTCCTATTATCTGAAACTGCCTATCATTTTGAAGACTGAGCCAACAGGCTGAGCTGTGTGTATAGCTCTCCAGCCCAGAGTGCCTCTGAGAGAAGGGGATGTTTTGTGGGATCACATGGTTGCTGTCCATGACATCAAACTCAGTGATTAGGGACTTCTCCCAGAGCACCTTTACATGCATTTGTAGGCACCTCCCTCCCCTCCAGCAGCTCAGACTCTTCCCATCTGGAGCACCTCAGCAGTGAGGGCACACAGTCTTCCAGAGTGTTCAGAAACTTGAGGTGAGCCAGGGCATGGCCTGGAGAGGGAAGTGGCAGATCCAGGGAAAACCCAAGAGACATCATTTCTGTGTGTCAACCTCCAAACCTGCCTCTATACTATGGGCACATGTGCCTTCACTTCTCAGCTTCTGGTGCCAGAAAGCATCCAGGAGATGGGCCTACATGAGAGACCAGGGCTGCTTGAAGAAAGGCAGATGCTTCAGAGAGGTGAAGAGAAGGGGACAGTGAGAAGAGAGAGCAGCATGGTGGGGCCAGAGGGAGACCAGCCTGTGTCCTTGCCTTCCCAGCAGACCTGCTGGTGCCGATTCCTTCTCATCTCCCTCTGGGAATAGAGGCCAAGGAAATGAATCTCATAAATGCCACTTACCAGCTATGAAACCTTGAGCAACTTACCTATCTCTTCTGTTTTCTAACCTATAAAATGAAACCAGCGTAACTGCTTCATAGGGCATTGGGAGAATATTCTTCAAATTTCTGCCCAAAATGTTTACAATTTTTAATTTTGTAATAGAAATATATTTAAAACTCTTATTTATAGGAGACTAGTTAAACTGTAGTTTATCCATAAAGTGAAATATTATGCAGAAGTTTAAGAAAATAAGGCTGTTCTCTGCTGTTGTATATGCACTTATATGGAATGATTTCCAAGCAAGGAACAGAAAAATGTGTATAGTATGATATGCACTTATTTTAAAAGGTGGATGAGTGTACACACACACACACACACACACACAAACATGACTGATGAGCTGTCCTGTCTCTGCAGCAGGCCTTAGAGCAATGCACAAAAAAGGCAGGTTAGGGGATTAGCTTTTCTCTGTACATTCCTTTCAATTGCTTTGACCTTTGTATTTTCAAAAGTGCCTTTTCCAAAATGATAACACTTCTCCTTCTTCCAGATCACAAGGTTAGAGAAAACGTGGACCACCCTGCGGCACCAGTACACCCAAACGGCCATCCTGTATGAGAAGCAGCTGAAGCCATTCAGTAAAGTCCTACACGAAGGCAGAGGTGAGCACACAGGGTCAGCACACATGGGCGTGGTGCTGCCTGTTGGTGTCTGTAACGCTGTTTGGTGGACTCTGCCCTGATGACTGAAGCAGTTAGCAGGGCATAGACCCTGAGTTATCTGCAGGCTCATTGATAGGTCATCACAGCTTTTATCAGATGACAGCATCTCTTATAGAAGGTCTGCAGTTGCTAGAACAGTCTCCTTGTTCTGTGCTTTACTTTTTTAAATAGAGGTATAATATGTATAATATTAGTTTCAGGTGTACAATGTGATGATTCAATATTGGTATATATTGCAAAGTGATCACCATAATAAGTCCAGTTAATAACATTCATCACCGTTCATAGTTAAAAAATTTTCCTCATGATGATAATTTTTAAGATCCACTCTTCTAGCTACTTTCAAATGTGCAGTATTAATAACTATAGTCACAACACTGTACATTACACCCCATGACTTACTCATTTTCTAACTGGGAATTTGTACCTTTTTGATCCCCTTCACCCATTTCACCTACCCCCACCCCTCCCACCTCAGGCAACCACCAATCTGTTCTCTATATCCAAGAGCTTGGTTTTTGTTTTTTTGTGTATTTTTATTTTTGTTTTTGCAGATTCCACATATAAATGCGATCATATGATATTTACCTTTTTGTCTTATTTCCTTAGCACAATGCGTCCAAGGTTCATACATGTTATTGCAAATGGCAGGATTTCATTTTTTTATGGCTAAATATACAGTGTATATAATATATGTACACATATATATATATATCATACATACACACACACACACACACACATAACATGTTTTCTTTATCTAGTTATCCATTGATGGATGTTTTAGCTTGTTTCTGTAGGTTGGATATTATAAACAGTGGTACAGTGAACATGGGGATGCAAATAGCTTTTTGAGAATTTTCATTTTCTTCAGATAAATACCCAGAAGTGGAATTGCTACTATCATATGGTATTTCTATTTTAGTTTTTTGAGGTTATCTCCATCATGCTGTTCTCCATAGTGGGTGTACCAGTTTACATTCCCTTTTCCTGCACATCCTCACTAACACTTGTTATTTCTTGTCTTTTTTGATACTAACCATCCCAATAGGTGTAAGGTGATATCTCACTGTGGTTTTGATTTGCATTTTCCTGATGTTCAGTTCAGCACCTTTTCATGTGCTTGTTGGCCATCTGTATGTCTTCTTTGGAGAAATGTCTATTGAGATCCTCTGCCCATTTTTTAATGGGGTTGGATTTTTTTTTCCCATAGAGTACATGAGTTCTTTATGTATTTTGGATGTTAACCCCTTATCAGATACATGATTTACAAATATTCAGTAGGTTGCCTTTTCATTTTGTTAATGTTTCCTTTGCTGTGCAGCTTTATAGTTTGATATAGTCCCACTTGTTTTTTATTTTTTGCCTTTGCTTTTGGTGTAAGATCCAGAAAATCATCACCAAGACCAATGTCAAAGAGCCTACCATCTATATTTTCTGCTAGGAGTTTCATGGTCTCAGGTCTTATACTCAAGTTTTTAATCCATTTTGAGTTGATTTTTGTGTATGATGTGTAGGACAGTGGTCCAGTTTCATGTGGCTGGCCAGTTTTCCTAACACCATTTATTGAGGATACTGTCCTTTTATCATTATATATTCTTGGCTCCTTTGTTGTGAATTGATCATATTATGTATTTATTTCTGGGCTCTCTATTCTGTTCTGTTGGTGTACTGATTGTTTTTGTCAGTACCATTCTGTTTTGATTACTATAGCTTTGTAATATAATTTGAAATCAGGAAGTGTATCTCCAGCTTTGATCTTCTTTCTCAAGATTGTTGTGGCTATTTGGAGTTTTGTGGTTCCATACAAATTTTTGGATTGTTTGTTCTATTTCTGTGAAAAATGCCACTGAAATTTGATAAGGATTGCATTGAATCTGTAGATTGCTTTGGATAATATGGCCATTTTCACAATATTAATTCTTCCAGTCTATAAGTATGGAATATCTTTCCATTTGTCTTTCCATTTCTTTCATCAGTGTCTTACAGTTTTCAGGGTACAGGTCTTTCACTTTGAATTTATCCCTTGGTATTTTATTCTTTCTGATGCAATTGTAAATGGAATTGTTTTTATTTCTCTGATAGTTTGTTATTAGTGTATAGAAATGCAACCAATCTCTATATATTGATTCTGAATTCATTTATTCTAACAGTTTTTGGAGTTTTTACAGTTTTCTACATATAGTATCACGTGATTTGCAAATAGTGACTGTTTTACTATTTCCTTTCCAACATAGATGCTTTTCTTTTTCCTGACCAATTGTACTGTCTAGGACATACTATGTTGAATAAAAGTAGCAAGAGTGGATGGATATCCTTGTTCCTGATCTTAGAGGAAAAGCTTTCAGCTTTTTACCATTGAATGTGATGGAGCTGTGGGCTTGTGATATATGGCCTTTATTATGTTAAGGTACATTCCCTCTATACCATCTCTTGAGTTTTTATAGTTGGATGTTGAACTTTGTCAAAAGCTTTTTCTCTATCTGCTGAGTTTATATGATTTTTATTCATTTTGTTAATGTGTATCAAATTGATTTGCAGATGTTAAACTATCCTTGTGTCCCTGAAATTAATCCCACTTGATCCTAGTGTGTGATCCTTTTAACATATTGTTGAATGCAGTTTGCTAACATATTGTTAGGATTTTTACATCTATGCTTACCCAGGATACTGGCCTGTAATTTTCTTGTGGCATCCCTATCTGGTTTTGATATCAGGGTAATGGTGGTAATGAGTTACACTTCTCTTTTTTGGAAGAGTTTAAGGATTGGTATTAATTTACTTTGGTAGAATTTACCAGTGAAGCCACCTGGTGTTTGTTGGGAGATTTTTTTATTACTAATTCAGCCTTTCCACTAGTAACCCATCTGTTCAGGTTTTCTGTATCTTCATTATTCAGTCTTGTTAGGCAGTATGTTTCTAGAAAATTACCAATTCCTTCTAGGTTGTCCAATTTGTTGGCATATAAGTGGTCTCTGTTTATTTCCACTCTGTTATTCCTTCCTTCTACTAATTTTGAGCTTCATTTGTGCTTCTTCTGATTCTTTGAGGTGTAGAATTAGATTGTTTGAGATTTTTCTTGTTTACTGAGGTAGGTATTTATCACTCTGAACTTCCCCCTAGGAACTGCTTTTGCCACATGCCATAAGTTTTGGTATGTTGTGTTTCCATTTTCATTTGTCTCAAAGTATTAAAATTTCTCTTTTGACTCATTGGTTGTTCAGCAGCATATTTAATCTCCATATATTTTTGAGTTTTCCACATTTCTTCTTCTGATTCCTAGTTTCATACCATTGTGGTTGAGAAGATGCATATGATTTCAGTCTTTTTATAAGTACTAAGATTTTTGTGGCTTAACATAGGATCTGTCCTGGAGAATGTCCCATGTGTACTTGAGAAGAGCGTGTATTCTGTTGCGTTTAGTCCATCTGGTCTAACATCATTTAAGGCCAATGATTTCTTACTAATTTTCTGTCTGGATGATCTATCTGTTGATGTAGGTGCATTACTAAAGACACCTATTATTATTGTATTGCTCTTTATTTCTCCCTTTGTGTCTGTTTATATTTGCTTTATATATTTAGGTGCTCTTATGTTAGGTACATAAATCTTAACAAATACTACATCCCCTTGTTGGATTGATTCTTTATTATGATGTAATGCCCTTTAATAACAATCTTTGTTTTAAAGTCTATTTTGTCTGCTGTAACTACTCTAGTTTTCTTTTAGTTTCCATTTGCACAGAATATCTTTTTCTATTCCTTCACTTTCATCCTATGTGTGCCCTTACTTCTGAAGTGAGTCTCTTGGAGGCAGCATAAAGATGAGTCTTGTCTTTTATCCATTCAGCCATTGTATGTCTTAATTGGAGAATTTAGTCCTTTTATATTTAAAGGAATTATGCTAGGTGTACTTACTGCCATTTTTTTATTTCATTGTTTTCTGGCTGTTTTGTAGTTCTTTCTTCTCTTGCTCACTTCTTTTGTTGTTTAGTAACTTTCTTTGGTAGTATGTTTAGATTCCTTTCTCTTTCTCTTTTGTGTATCTAGTATAGATTTTTGCTTTGTTGGTACTGTGAGATTTATATGTAACAACTTATAACAGTCTATTTTAAGTTGATATCAACTTAAATTTGAATGCATTCTAAAGCTTTGCATTTTTAGTACCCCCACCATGTTTTATGTTTTTGATGTTATATTTTACATCTTTTTATCCTGTATATCCCTTATTGTAGTTATTTTTACTACTCATCTTTTAAAAACTTCATACAAGCTCTATAAGTGATTATCCCCCTTTACTGTATATTTACCTTAACCAGTAAGATTTGTACTTGTATGTTTTCTTGTTACTAACTAGCACCCTTTCTGTTAAGTTTAAAGAGTCCCCATTAACAATTCTTGTATGGCTGGTTTAGTGGTGAACTCCTTTAGCTTTTGTTTGCCTGAAAAACTCTCCTTCAGTTTTGAATGGTAACTTTGCTAGACAGAGTATTCTTAGTTGGAAATATTTTTGTTTTAGCATTTTGAATATACTAATTCCCTTCTGACCTACAGAGTTTCTGCTGAAAAACCTGTTAGTCTTATGGGGGTTCCCTTGGACATTACAAGTTGTTTTTCTTGCACTGCTTTTATGATTTTTTTCCTTGTCTTTAACTTTTGGCATTTTAATTATAATGTGTCTTACCTGTGGATCTCTTTGGGTTCATCTTATTTGAAACTCTGTGGGCTTCCTAGATCTGGATGTCAGTTTCCCTCCCGAGATTTGGTAAGTTTTCAGCTATCGTTTCTTCAAATAAAGTTTTCTGAACTTTCTATTCTTCTGGAATCCCTATAATGTGCATGTTAGTCCACTTGATGTCCCATAAGTCGTTTAAACTGTCTTCACTTTTTTCATATTTTTCTTTTTTCTGCTGAGTTTCATTGCCCTATCCTCCAAGTTCACTCATCCTTTCTTCTGCTTCATCTAGTCTTTTGAATCCATTTCAAGTGTTTTCCAGTTCAAGTACTGTATTCTTTTGCTC